CAGACATGCCAGTGTACCATTACAAACGCTTTGGGACATCATCTCCAGAGTGAGACCACATTGTTGTTTTGATACCATCAGCCCATTGTGACATCCCAAAATGACAATGACATCATAGCATTATGACATCACATTTTCATTGTGAGGTCATAGGGACAATGTGATTGCTTATTATGTGATTTCATTCTATCTCAAATGTGGCATATAGGTTGATTTCAGAAATCCATTGTGACCACATCACCATTGTGACATTACAATCCCTTTGTGACCTCATATTGACTTTGTGATATTATTAATGCAATGTAACAACACAAACCTGTCTTGTTCTTATAAATTTTGTTACAAGCGACAACCTTTACTTGGGCTGCATGCCCAGAGCTAAATGGAGCCTTAACTATGAACCCTCAGACCTCCAAAGATCAACCCAGCCATTTGTTAACTGGTCTTCAAACAACCAACCCCCCAAAATAATGATCTCTAAAGCTCCACACTTCAAAGGACAAGGCTTTTCCTTTTTCCTCATCCTCCTGCCCTCCAGACTGTCCCACCTTTCTGGTCTTTTCATTTTTTTCCTTCCACCATTCCCTTCTTCTCTTCAGGCTGCTCTACTCTTGACAGGCCTGCCCTGTCCTGTTCATGTGGCCAGTTGCCATCCTTCACCTTCTGCTCTCCCTCAATTTCCTCTCTTCCCAGGTCTTTACCCTCCTTCACTCTCATTACTTCTTTCCTACCAGACCTTTCCACTTTTTCTCTCTCCTTCTGTTGCTCTGAACATGCAACTTATACATAGGCTATACCTGTATGGCATCACCAACTAATTGTGACATCAAAACCTTTTGTGATGTCACAATGGACACAATGATCATGACATCTGTCAGTGTGATGTCACAATGGTCATGATGTCACAGTTGATTTCTGGTATCTCATGTCATACATGAAATATGAGGAAACAAATTATGAGGGCAAAAAGGTCTAAGATATCACAATGTCAGCATGTCACAAAAGATAGGACAAGAGAGGTTTGTGATGTCACATTGTGTTAGTGATATCACAATGGAACTGTGATGGTACAAAGTGATTGATGTCAAAATGGTTATGTAGGCACAAAAATGAGTTTCTAATAGCAACTCTCATGCCACATTTGAAATACAATGAAATCACAGAATAGGCATTCACAATGTGTCTATGATGTCACAATGAGAATTGTTGTCATCATGCAATATATCATTGAGTTTGGTGATGTCACATGAACTGATGTTATAATGAAAAAGTGATGTCACACTTGAGGATGTCACAAACACTTTTTGATTTTATAGTGGCATGTGTAATCTCAATTTTCATTAGTTAACAACAAGGATATGAGTACACAAATGGACTGTGATGTTGAAAAGGGCATGTGATTTTTCAAAGGAGCTAAGAGGTCATAATAGATTTGCTATGTCACAATGGAATCATGATGTCACAATGACAATGTTGTCACAATAGTGATCTAGGTATTGAGGTGTTTACCAATTATTGCCAGGTTCTGTTAGCAGGGATAAGGCAGTGGCTAGAAAGCCAAATCATCAATCTAAGGTGAGAGATATGGTATAGTTCCCCAGTGAGTACCCTGATGCTTTTCTGAAACTTTTGCCAGAAGCCTATAGGACCTATAGGCCTTTGTTACCCTTTCTGAACCTTCTCCCAGAAGCCTATAGGACCTATAGGCCTTTGTTACCCAGACAGCCCCAGATATTAGAAGAAAGCTTCAAAAGTCAAAAGGTTTTGAGGGAAATGTGTATTCTAAGTTGGAAGTGGTTGCCCAATGGGTGTTTGATAACAGAGATACCCTGGAAAAAAGGGGTCTAAAAAGGGTGTTTGAGTTTTAGTAGGAGTATCAGAATAGGGATCAAGAAACCCTTGGCAAAGACAGTACAATTCATTTGCAAATGGCAATAGAGAACTTCTAGACTAAATCAGTGTATTTATTGCAAGCAAAATGGACTTTGAGAAAAGGAATGTCCAAGGAAGAGAAAGATAGAAAATGACAAGTTAAGTAATCACATTAACCATCTGGAGCTTGGGGTGCTGAATTCCAACTATGTTCAACTTAAAAAGCAGCCCTCTGAACTTAAGAAGTAATGTGGCCAAAAAATTCATATACTTCTATCTCAAAACACAGGCTTATAAAAGACTGAATCTCCAATATGTGCCCGTCAAACCCCACCAAGACGTTAAATGCACATAGAAGAGCACACTGGAGAAAAGACAGAGAATTATTTGACGTGAAGAAAAGATGTGAAGATATAAATTAGGAACTTGTGACAGTTAAAAATGAGTAGAAAATCCTCAAAAGGAATCTAGAAAACACTCACAATCAAATGGAATTCAAGTACATTATCCTGCGTGAGCATGAGGCAAATTAGGGGAACACAGGTCAGAGGCTGACAGAAGCAGAGGACAGCAATGCTGCTATCCTTGCTAACCACAAGTGAGGCCAAGAAGAGATCCTGATGCTGGATTAAGAAATCATGGCCATGAAAAAGGAGCTGGACCTGATATAAGAATGTATTAGGCAGGACTGGGAAGTGTCTCAGTGTTAGAGCACTTACCTTGCATGCATGAGTCCCTGGGTTCGATTCCTCAACACTACATAAGCAAAAAGAAAAAAGCTGGAAGTGGCACTGTGGCTCAAGTGGTAGAGCACTAGTCTTGAGCTGAAGAGCTGAGGGACAGCGCCCAGGCACAGAGTTCTGGCCCCACGCCGGACCCCCAAGAAAAAGAATGTATTAGGCTGAAGTACATGTGGATTGTAAGCTTTGAAGAGTGTCACCAGAAATTCAAAGCAACAGAGAAAGAAGGAAAGGGTAGTTAGCAGAGAAGATGGGAAATTCCTGTGTCATAGAAGATGAGGCCAAGAAAAGTGAACAAGAAAATATCAGGCTCAAGAAAGAGAATGTTACTATTCAGAAAGAGTTAAAGGACTACATGCTCTGATAAAGAATGCTGGGGAAAGGGAAAGAGCATTAGGAAGGAAAACAGTAGAGCTAAACAAACAGTTGGAAAACCTGTCACAAAAATACACTGCAGTGGAAAACTAGAAAGAGAAACTACTAGAATAAAAGGCCAAAAAGACTGCTGAGATCTTCACCATAAATGTAATGCAGAAGCATCTTGTCCCAATGGAACAGGTGGAAGTGGGAAAAATACCTCTCAATACCATCTCTATGAACTTAAGGGAGGAGCTAAAGACCAAGCGAGGGTGTTGTGAGAAGGAGCAGCAGCTGGCCAGTCAAATGAACTCTCCTGTGACCCTGCCAAAACACTTGCAGGTTAAGGAGCACAATCAGAAGGAGAGTGGTATCATTAAAGCAAGTTTGAGAGAAAAGGAGGAGAATAAAATGGACGAAGTCTTCAAGGTTCATATTACTGTACAGGAGTTAAAGAAACTAGAGACCCTAAGATACAGGGAAACATCTGAGCTGATCATGTAGTTTCAGAGACTACTCTAAAGCTACTAGTCTTTAAGATTAAAGGAAGAAGTAAAAGCAGTGAACACTGAACTTGTGAAAAAAGCATACAGGCTCAAGCTTTCTGTCAGTTTACATGTAGATATTGGCACCCTGGTAAATTGCCCTAGGCCACTGACTAAAACTGTTCGAAAACCAGTGGAGCCTCAGCCTGAGAATCCTTTGTAATGCATGTACATAATTTCCAACAGGTAACTGCTGAAAAGCTGGAACCTATGGAAAGAATTGATATGTGAGGAACCTCAGACAGTGAATTTGGGAAAGTAGACTCCACAGAGGTAAAGCTTGGAAAGTATGGGTATTGGTATCTGTTAGTAATAGTGGACACTTTTTCAGGCTGAGCTGAGGTGTGTAATAATCCCTTGATTTGACTAACCCTCAGCTGTTGGGTCCAAAGATGGCCCTGCATTCATGGTGCAAGTTCTCAATTATTAACTAACACCCTAGGAATAAATTGGAAGTTTCAATCCATTTATAGACCTCAAGGCACTAGAAAGAGTGAATATGACCTTAAAGGAAACTTTAACTAAATTGAATACAGAGACTTGACATGGCTAGGTGAGCCTCCTCCACTTTGCTCTCCTTTGAGCAAGATGTAGCCCCTATGTTAAAGGATTTAATCCTTTTGAAATACTTTAGGGTAGACCACCTTCTTTGTTTCCGAAACTTGGGATGACTGTATTAACAGAAATGTCTAACTACAATCTGCAGGCTTTACAATATATTCTTTTTTTTTGGGGGGGGGTCCAGTTGTGGGCCCTGAACTCTGGGCCTGGGCACTGTCCCTCAGCTCTTCAGCTCAATTCTAGCACTCTAACACTTGAGCCACAGCGCCACTTCCGGCTTTTCTCTTTTTGCTTATGTGGTGCTGAGGAATCGAACCCAGGGCCTCAGGCATGCAAGGCAAGCGCTCTACCACTGAGCCACCTTTCCAGCCCCTACAACATATTCTTTTATGTACTTATCTTTTTGTAATCAAGGCCCACCGGCCGCCTAAGAAAACCTCCACCTGAAGGGGAGGGGCCAAGGTGGTGATGGAACAGCAGGGAAACACCACAGCTCTCTCCAACCAAATATAGAGTTTGGATTTCAATGCTCTGTTTCCCCAAGTGACCCCCAAAAAGGCGATTACTCAAAGAGATAGATGAAGTGAAAAAGAAAAGGGAAAAACCTACACAGACAGTAAAGTTGGAAGACCCTTCTCCCACAACTTGTTGGATATGGGACTCCGCACTAAGCAGCTTAAGTGCTGGGGCTTCGTACCAGGCTGCTTAGCTGGCCAGGCTCTGGACCCTCCGAGGACCACACACTCATAAGCATCCCAAGGCTCCCAAAAGGCTCCCAAGAGGTGGGGCCAACCTAGAGAATACAAACAGAAATCTCAGAAGGCAGAGCCAGCATGAAAACTCCCCTCACCCTCCCTGACAGGGTGCCTCTGCCTGGCTGGTACAAGCAGCCCAATCCATTCAAGAGTAGCAGCAGCTGTCAGCAATGGCGAACGACCCTACACTGGCAGCGTGGCACCTCTGTTCTGATGGTGTAAACAGCCTTGCCTAACCTGGAGAAGCAATGGCAGCTGGCAGTGGTGCCTCTTGGCACTAGCCCACAGGAACAGACCAGACCAGACCAGACTAGGGAGGCAGCAGTGGCTGGAGTGGGGACAGCTGCAGTGAACAACCCCAGATGGATGGTGGTTTGTGCTTCTCCATACTGGCCTGCATAAGCAGCCCAGCCTAGCCCGAGGCAGCAGCAGTGGTTAAAACCTGACTCGTGGTGGGGTACCTGGCTTGCATAAGTGGCCCAGCTGATCCTGGGGCAGTGGCAGCAGCTGGGGCAGTGGCAGCAGCTGGGGCAGCAGCAACAGGATCGACAGCAGCAGCAAACAACTCTGGACCCATAGTGGGGGGCAGCGCCTCTCCCTACTGGTTAGCATAAGCAGCCCAACCCAGCCCATGGTGGCAAAGGGGGTGAACAACCCCAGACTTGAGGCAGGGTGTGGTGCTGAATAACCCCAGAAAAGCCTCATGAACGTTCCTGCCTGGGCTGGCTTTGAACCTGAATACACAGATCTGAGCCTCCTGCGTAGATAGAATTACAGGCATTCACACCAGCAGGGTCTAACTCTTGTCAACCCCCTAACTTTTTCTAAAATAGATAATTTCTTATTTCATACAAGGAATTTAAGCAATACAAGAAGATCGACATAAAACCCTGTATTCTATCTCACCATAGTGGAATCAAACTAGTTCTCAATAACAAGGCATAAAGTAGAAAAAACTTACACACATGGAAATTAAACAGCACTCTGACATGGGTCACAGAAGAAATTATAGAAGAAATTAAAAACTTTCTACAATTCAATGAAATTTAAGAAACATCACAAAGAAACCTATGGGACACAGCAAAAGCAGTCCTGAAGAACAAATTTATTGCTCTCAGTGCACACATTAAAAAACAAAGACCGGGCTGGGAAGGTGGCTCAGTGGTAGAACACTTGCCTTGCATGCATGAGGCCCTGGGTTCAATTCCTCAGCACCACATAAGCCAAAAGAAAAAAAGCCAGAAGTAGCGCTGTGGTTCAAGTGGTAGAGCGTTAGCCTTGAGCTGAAGAGCTGAGGGACAGCACCCAGGCCAGAGTTCAGGCCCCACGACCGAACCTCCCTCCCCCCAAAAAGAAAAAAAGAAACAAAGACCAAGTAAACAATCTTATGATTCAACTAAAACTGCAAGAGAAACAAGAAAAAATTGAACCTAAAGTTGCTAGACAGAAAGAGATAACCGAATAAGAGTTGAAATTTATAAGATAGAGACTAAGAAAATTATACATAAAATTAATAAAACAAAAAGTATTTTTTTAAATGTCAATAAAACTGAAGGACCACTGGCAAGAGTAACTAACAAGAGACCCAAATCAATAATATCAGAGATACCACAGGAAAATTACAACAGACATCCAAGACATCCAAACAATCATAAAGAAGTAATTCCAGACTCTACTCACAAAGGAAGGAAAACCTAGCAGAGAGGAATTAATTTCTACAAAAATACAAATTTCTATCCCCCCTTTCCTTTTCAGCCATGCTTCTCTACCACCTATGGTGGGGGCAGAAGTTCGGTAAACAAACATCTTTTCCTGCCTGAATAGCATGTGGTGTTTTCTTCATTGGCTACCTAATGAAACCTACTTAATTAACATTCCTTACATATGGTGCCATGATTCGGATGGGGTTATTGAGTCGGAAATGTTAGAATTTCCTAACCACCACTTTTCTATGAACCCAACTTCTTTGATACACCATGTGAGACTTTTCACCAATAACATTGCTGGCCTTCACATCCACGTCCACACCACTTCTCCACTCTGGTAAGTGAAACTACTCTCTATAGCTCTCTGTTGCTCAATCTCTGGGCAGATGTGGTGCCATGCCAGAGAGCTCATATGGCCTTTTGAGGAAAGGCTGATCACCTCCAAAGCTGAGGATGCTTGGTTTGGGGGATTTGGCTATTTCTCTCTAGAGGGCTCTGGGGGACGTCGGGACACCGCTTCTGCCTGGTCAGCTCTCCTTCATTCACCAGACTGACTCTCCTACACATTTACTGGGGTGCTGTGAGTCATGCCTGAGTCATGAAACCCCTCTGAAATGTCTCCTGCGCTCACTGGATAGCCGGAACACCTAATATTTTTATGCTGTTCTCAGATTTTCACAATTTTTGAGTCTGCAATGATACATGGTGAGAAGTCTGTTTACTTTCAGGCTCTCTTGGCTCTCTGCTATTAATGTCGAACTTTCTATATCTCTTGTTTCTTTTCTACAACTTTTTCGAATGTGCCCTGAAGAATGCGACATGGGCTAGGTCCCAGGGACCCCCTCTAGGTTCCCTCTCAAAGGCTTTCCAAACTAGGCTTGATTTTTTGTTAAGGCTTTCTTTGCATTTTTTCAGCAATTCGCCATCTTGGCCACATGATGGGTTAAGGGTTTGGCCCTATCCAGTCCTTACCCTTCCACCAAGCTGACTACTCCTCCATCCATGTATTTTAATGTGTGTGCTAACAAGTTGCTCTTTGCACAGACCCTGGTAACTGAGGCCCAACCATGTGATATGCTTTGTTAGCAAAGATGTCTAAACAATATTGTGAAAAATTTTAGGTTTCTAGTTTTGCCTTTTTTGTTTTGTGTTATGTTCTAGTACTGACTACGTGATTCTAAAATATTGGGCATATCTGTGCTAAGATTCTCACATCTAATGAGTTTTGTCATTGCAGAATATTTGGTCAAGTCTTGATAAGGACCAAGTAAGTTCTCCTTACTCAATTTGAACTCCTTGTTGCTTTAATTGGAAATAACAAAGGGCTTTTGTCGCATAGATTACCGTTCAAAGCCAGCCCGAGCTGAAAAATCCCTCAGACTCCATTTCCCAACTAACCTGCAAACAGCCAGGCAGGAAGAATTTGCTCAAGCCTCTTATCTCTAACCAGCAAACATTGCAAGTGCTACTATAACTCAAAGTGGTAGATTGCTAGTCTTGAGCAGATGTGCTCAGGGACAGTGCTCAGGCATTGAGTTCAAACCTCCTTGAATACCATATGTGACAAACCATCCCAGCAATGAGCACCTGGACTCGGCCAGTCTGGGGAACAAGGGAACATGGAGAGGAGTAAGAGGAGATGATATCACATCAGCCACTTTGTGCCTGCCCTTTCAAAATTAACCAGAGCCAGGAGGCCAATAGAATAAAGAAGACTGCCCATCTAATGTCAATACTTATCTACCTTTCAACTGGAAAGGAATTATATTCTTGCCTTTGTCACTTGACTTATTCTCTACCTAGTCAAAAGATGTCAGAAATACCTAGGGACATTTCTACCAACATTTTCAGCCCAAAGTCCCTCTTGCCACTTATTTGCTCCCGTATTTTTTTTTCAGTCCCTCAATGCCTGAGTCTTCTCCAGACTTCATCCAATAGATTTGCCTCCACTAGATTTCATCTAAGCACTCAATGCCCAAGTGACAGCTCTTGCCTGCTGTCTCCTTCCAGAGGGGAACACATCTTAGCCTTTTAACCTACTGTTGATACCCCATGAAAACAGGAAGTAGCCAGAGAGAATCTTCAACCTTTTTCATAATTGTCAAAAGGCTGGAATGTAAGGTCTGAACAGGGACACCTCCCTTCCTCTTGGCTAAGTTTCAGCCCAGTATCTGTTACATAGGTAACTGGCAGACCTGGAAGCAGTCACCTTCCTCTCCTTCCCCTCCTGCTAGGTCACATCCTGGGCCACCTCTGGTCACATGACTCCCATCTGACCTTAGGAGGGTCACAGACCCTGAGGTCACATCTGGATCCAGTGTGGCCACACCTTTCCCTCACTTGGCCACACCTCTTCTTGTCCCTGTCTAGATAAGTCCTGGACCAGTGGTAGATCACCCCCTTCGTTTTCAGCCATGCTTCTCCACCATGCATGGTGGGGGCACCAGTTCAGTAAATAAATTCTTTTCCTAGCTGAAAAAAAATACAAATTTCCCAAACAGTACCAAGAAGAAATAAATCAATTAAATATGCCAATAATCTACAATGAGATGAAGTAATCAGAAATCTTCCAACAGGAAAAGCCCAGGACTTGATGGATTCACTACAGAATTCTATAAGGCCTTTAAAGAGGAACTAAGACCCATACTCCTCAAGCTCTTCAGAGAAATAGAAACAGAGGGAGTAATCCCAAACTCATTCTATGAAGCCAATATCTCCTTCATACCCAAACCAGGCAAAGACCCAACAAAAAAGAACTACACACCAATCTCTTTGATTAAGACATATGTATAGCTCCTCAATAAAATTGCAGCCAACAGAATCCAGAAACATAACAAAAAATCATACATTATAACCAAGTAGGCTTCATTCCGAAATGCAAGGATTGTTTAACATATGTAAGTCCATAAATGTAATCCATCACATCAACAGATCCAAGGTCAAGAATCACATGATTATCAACATTGATGCAGAAAAGGTTTTTGATAAAATTCAACATTCATTCATGTTAAAAGATCTGGGAAAAAATAGAAATAGAAGAAACATTTCATAAGATAATAAAAGCCTTACATTTTAGATCAAAGTTCAATATTATACTTAATGGGGAAAAACTACAACAAATTCCCCTAAAAACAGAAACAAGGCAAGGATGCCCAATCTATCCACTCCCCTTCAATATAGTTCTGGAATTCTTAGCCAGAGCAAAAAGGCAAGACAAAGACTTTAATGGGATCCACACAGGAGAGGAAGAAGATAAATTATCTCTTTTTGCAGATGGCATTATTTTGTAAATTAACAATCCCTAAAGCTCCATCCCCAAACTCTTATAGATTATAAACCAATTTGGCTAAGTAGCGGGATACAAAATTAACCCACAAAAATCATCACCTTTCTGCACACTAACAATGTACAAGCAGAAAGGGAAATCAAGGAAACAACCCCATTCACAATAATCTAAAAAAAAGTATCTAGGAATTAAACTAACCAAAGATGTAAAGGGTCTATTTCATAAATTATAGAAACCTAAAAAAAGGAATCATAGAGGATACCAGGAAATGGAAAGACTTCCCATGTACCTGGATAGGCAGAATTAATATGGTGAAAATGGCCATACTGCCAAAATTAATAAACACCTTCAATGCAATTTCCATTAAAATTCCAATGACCTACTTTTCTGAATTAGAGAAAATAGTCTAAAAATTCATTTGGAACAACAAAAGACCTAGCATAGACAAAACAATTTTAGGCAAAAGATAGAATGCAGGAGGGATCATGATACAGGACTTCAAGCTCTACTATAGAGCCATAATAACAAAGACAGCTTGGTACTGGCACAAAAGGGGACCCAAATATAAATGAGACAGGTTAGAGGACCCAGAAATATAGTCGCATATGTACAGTCAGTTGATATTTGACAAAGGAGCCAAAGACATACAGTGGAAGAGGCAAAACTTCTTCAACTACGGGTGTTGGGAAAACTGGCCACATGCAGAAAATGAAAAGTAGATCCTAGCCTATCACAACGCACTAACATCAACTCAAAATGGATTAAAGACCTTAACATCAAGCCTGAAACTCTGAAACTACTACAGGACTGAGTATGAGAGACACTTGAACTTATAGGCACAGGCAGGAACTTCCAGAACAGATTTCCAGGGTCACAACAAATTGGAGAATGACTGAATGGGACTACCTTAAAATAAGTTTCTGCACAGGTAAAAAATAGCAATCAAACTAGAAAGAAAGCTAAATAATTGGGAAAAATATTTACCAGCAATATATCAGACATAGGTCTAATATCCATTACATATGGTGAATTCAAGAATCTGATTCATAATCCTTGTGACATTTTGGATGGAGCTGATGATCAGCCACGACCATTGTACATTGTCTGGCCTCACAGGTGGGAGCATGACAAATATCCAGAGACACTTTTTAAGGTATTATTGCACCTAAAAGATTTAGAACTCCCTTTTCACATCTCTGTCCTCGGAGAAATTTTTACAGATGACCCAGATATATTTTCAGAGGCCAAAAAGGCACTGGGATCTTCAGCCTTACGCTGGGGCTACTTACCCTGCAAAGATGACTATTTCCAAGTATTGTGCATGGCTGATGTTGTCATCTCAACAGCTAAGCATGAATTCTTTGGAGTGGCAATGTTGGAAGCTGTGTACTGTGGTTGCTATCCATTTTGTCCCAAAGATTTGGTTTATCCCAAAATATTTCCCGCTGGATATCTGTATTATACACCTGAACAGCTTTCAAAAGGACTCCAGAATTTCTGCAAGAGACCAGATGTTGTAAGGAAACATCTCTATAAGGGTGAAATAACTCCGTTTGATTGGTCAGCCCTACATGGTAAATTCAGGTCTCTGCTTACAAGAGAACCTAAGGAAGATTTGTAACAGATGTGGCTAAGTCACAAACTTGCAACCTAAAGCAGAATCTGAAGAACTTTCCAGAGTGTGCCCATATTTACCTGACCAGAGAGAAAAGAAAATCTGCAGAGGAAGCTGAGCCTGGCTGCTTGTCAAAGCTGACACAGAGCCATCTGCCACAAACCTGTGGCGGCTTCAGATCTCCAACCCCTGCCACTACCCCAACTCAAATTAAATACAGATTCCTAGAATCATTATGGTAGTTACACATGTCCTCAGATCACATGTAGGAGACTGTTCAAAAAAAATATGTGGCCTGTTTTATAACCACACTCATGTATCCCATATGTGGTGCCATATTGAATATCCGGTTGAATCCGTTTTTATCCTTTGTACTGGTTGACATGGGGCCTGAATTCTTTCTTTCTGCCGACACGATGGCAGCCAAACTGCAGCTTCAAACGCTCACACTTGGCTTGGTTTCTACCTGGTTTGCCAAGTTATCATCCGAGTCTTCCTGTGTCCTCAAAGGGCCACAGGGTCTGAATGCAGACCACGAATATGCCACCTCAAAAATGTGGGCAAAGTGCTGCTTTAGCATTTTTCCTTTAGCAAATTATCGACTCTTTGGCACACAAATTTTTAAGTGAAGGTATTAATAAGAAGTCTGGCATGTATTCCCATGATTCACAGAGTTACATTTGCATTTAATTAATCTTAAAGAAAGTTGCAAGATAAACAACTGTAATTCCAACAAACATGGCAGATACAGTCAGTGGAGCCCTCCCACCCATAAAGTGAACACTGAGATACTTGTTTTAATTTTTTCCAGGAGTCAAAATAGAGAAATCAATATACTTCTAACAAAACTAGCAGTTTTGATTAAAATATTCTTCAAAAATATCCGCATCCAGTTACAAATATAATCTTTGAAAGATACATCACTCATTATTCTGATAGTCTGATTCTGTATTTGTTGATATAAAAATGTTTTAAATGGTTAGATTGTAAAATAAATTTTTAATAAAGGGCCAAAAGAAAGAAATTAAATCCAGCTGGAAGGAAAATTTGTTTGGGGAGAGTAGTTTATTCTATAGCAAGTCTCACTTCAGCAATAAAATAAAAAACTAGACCTCAAGTAAGTGAAATAAACTAAGAAATGGAATTGAAAAAAGAAAAAAAGAAACTCCACCCACTCTTTCTTCCCTGGACAGCTGGTGTGGGTAAAAATGCATCATGGTCCTGAATTGGAAACGAAGTGGCAAGAAACTTACTTGGTGGTGCCAACTTCACTGTCGCCTATTAAATTAGCATGAACAGCATTGGCTCCATCAATCTCAAGTGAAATAGGCATTGGACCAATATACTGAGAAGGCTGCAAGATGGACTGTTCAGAGGCACTCAGAGGATCGCTTAAGGATAAGACTTACTAAGTGTTAATTAGTAATAACTAGTGTGTTTCTATAATTTACTTGTTTTCTATTAAATTTACGTTTTAAGCCTGTTCATTGGGTAGAGAGAAGGGAATTTTTAGGATTTGGTACGAAGGAATCAAGGATTTGATTGGACATGAAAACCAGTGGGGGATGTATAAAGCAGCAGAACCCTAATAATCAGCACGGCCCACTAATCAATGTGGCCCTATGTCCTGGCCCACTGGAGTGCATGGGTCATGCCACCAAAGGGGGCAGGGCATGCTGCTGGAGGGGGTAGGATGTCATCCTCACATGAGCTTTGAAGAAGTGATTGAGGAATGCGTAGTTCGTGAAGTGATGGTTGAAAAGTGTTAGGCAGGTGATCCACTGGAGTGATGGAGGGGTTCAACCTATATATAGGCTACCTGGTCAGAGTAATAGAATTGGAGAAAATAAAGGGAAGACCTGGAAGGAAGGAAGTGGTGAGATAGAGGGGAAAGTCCTGGGAGAAGAGGAATTTGAGGGAGAACAGGAGGGGAAGGATGACAATTGGCCACCAAGCCAGAGAAGTGTAGGCCTGTGGATAGTGGAGAGGCCTAAAGAGAAGAAGAAAATGAGGGAAGGGAAAAAGGGAAATGAAGTAAAGTTCTATAAAGAAGGAGAGAGTAAGAGAATAGGAAAAAGCCTTACCTATTGAAGTTTGGAGCTTTGGAGATGATAATTTGGGGGGTTGGTGGTTTGCACACTAATGAACTATGTGCAGGGCTGCCCATTGGAGGTCTGAGATTTGGTGGTTGGGCCTGGCTTGTCACTGAGTGTACAGCCCAGGACAAGGTAAATGCAGGACCATTTCTAGTGTAATTAAAGTTATCCTCAATATGCCTCATTGGATTGTCTTGTTTTATGCATCTTAAGTATACGAGTTCACAAGTTAATAGTGTCAAAGGCTATGAATTTTGTAAAATGTTATGAGGTCATAATAGGTTTGCAAACCCAATGGGACAGTGATATCACAATGGCAATATGATGTCACAATATTAAGTCATAATAATATTTATATGTTATAATTAGTTGGTGATGCCATAATGGTGATGAGGTCAGAATAGGTTTATGATGTCACAACGGATTGATGATGTCACAATGGCATGCTGGACTTCAATTTTTCTTTTTTTATTGTGAAAATACTATACAGAGGGGTTACAATTAGATGGGCAAGATAATGAGTACATTTCTTATCAAGCATTGTAGCCTCCTCCTTTGTTTCCCCTTCCCATCCCTTTCCATCCTCCCCCTAACCCCCACCCAATCCTCCCCGTCTCCCCCTCCCCTGCACCAAAGTTGTAAAGTTCGTTTTCAACATAACAACTTGTACATAACTCCAAATGAGAATATAAATTCAGAATGGGATTGTGAGATCTACAAAGTAATGCATTGGCCCAAATATTATGAACTCCCAACAGGTATGTGATGTCACAATGTGACACAATGTTCATGATATCTGACAGAGTGATGACACAATTTTCATGATATCAGAGTGCATTTCTAATATCACATGTCATACCTGAAATATGAAGTCAAAAACAGATTATGAGATCACAAAGAGCCTATGTATCAAAAGGGCATATCAAAATTATGAGAGGACCAGTTAATGATGTCACACTGGTGACCTGCCTCCAAGGGTTTGTAATATTAAAATGGTATAATATCTCAATCAATGACCACAATGATTATATGGCTAAACAACTGAAATTTTTTGTCACAGATGCCGTATGCTTTTTCAAAGGTGCTAAGAGGTCATACCCGATTAAAATGTCACAATGTGATTGTGATGTCACAATTGCAATGTGATGATGCGTAGGTTTGTGATATCATGGTGGTAATGAAGTCACGCATGCATATGGTGTGTGTGTGTGTGTGTGTGTGTGTGTGTGTGAACTGAGAGCTTAGGCTCTATCCCTGAGTTTTCTTGCTCAAGCCTACTGCTCTGCCACATGAGCCACAGTCCCTCTTGCTTTTCGATGGTTAATTGTAGGTAAGAGTCTTGAGGACTTTCCTGACCAGGGGGGATTTGAAGCATGATGAGGCCCCAGGGAAGCAAGAACAAACAGAACTTGCAGGTACAATCCCTATGGTGGGCGAACCTGCCCCCTGCTGGCCAGATGCGGGACATGTGGGGTCATGCCATTGTCTTCTACAGTTCAATTGGGGGAAGTGACCAGGGCCAAGCTGACTTTTGCTCACCCTGAGTGGTGATGCCAGAGCAGGTCTGTTCCACCCTAGGCCAAGAGAGCTCCAGGAGGCCCGGCTCCCAGGGGCACAAGGAAAGAATAGACCAGCTCCAGGCCCAGCTAAGAGCCTTGGCCCACGGACACCCCTAGTTGGCCTTCCTGATCACCATAAGACCTATCAAAGAGAAATCGGAAAAAAAAAATTGGAGTTGTGGGTCAACGTGTTAGAGCTCTAGCATTGAACCAAAGAGATCAGGGACAGTTCCTCCAAACTTTGAGTTCAAGACCCCAAGCTGACCCTCCCACATAAAACACCGGTTGGCTAAAGTAAACTAGTAGGATTTGTGAAGTGTTTCTGAAGAATGGTGATACTGAAGAAAGCACCCGAATTCTAATGACAACTGAACTTGTGAGCTATGTGTGAGTCCTTCACAAGGTGCTGTTTGCTGGGGCCTTTCCACATGGAGTTTTGTGCTGAGTCCTCAAAAATTGCTGTTTGCTGAGTCATCCTAAAGGATGCTATGTGCTGAGTCCCTGAGAAAAGTGGGCCGTGCTGGGTTTTTGAAAGGGTGCTGTGTGCTGAGTCCATTACACAACGTACTGTATGCTGAGTCCTTCAAAAGTTGTGGTTTGCTAATAATCCCAAAGGGTGCTGCTACGTGCTGAGCCATTGACAAGAGAGGGAGGATGTGAATTTTTCAAATGCTGTGTGCCGAGACCTTAACACAGGGTGCTCTGTAATGTCCTTCAAATGGTGCTCTCGGCTGAGTCCTTTGAGTGTGTGGTATGTGTTAAGTCCTTCCACAGCCTGGTATGTACTTTCAAAATTGTGTTATGGGCTAAGTTTTTCCAAGGGTGCTGTGCACTGAATGTTTTACACGGGGTGCTATGTACTCAGCCCTTCAAAGGGGTCTGTGTGTATCTTAACACAGGGTGCTATGTACTGAGTCCCTGGGAAAGAGTGTTGTGCGCTTGAGTTTTTCAAAGCATGCCATGTGCTGAGTCCTTTACATGTGGGCTATGGACTTCCTCATTCAAAGGGAGCTGTGTGCTGAGTCCTTTACACAAGGTGCTTTGTGCTGTTTTTTGAAGTGTGCTGTGTGCTGAGTCATCTCAAAGGATGCTATGTTCTGAGTCCTTGAGAGGCAGTTATCCCCAACAATCACACACACACAAACACACACACATACACACACACACACACACACACACACGGGTCACTGTACACCTGCTTGGTGTGTGGAGTGGAGGGGGATGGAGGAGAGTCTCCTCCAGTGGTGGGGCTGAGAGGAAATTTGATCCCCCAGGCTGGTACTGGGGTTGGGAGAATGATGAGCTGAGGTCAGGTTACAATTGCCATGGCCTAGAAGCCTTAGGGCCCAGT